TGTGAGAAATTCCGATCGAGAGCCCCGTCGGCACAACTTGCGGCTTGCAACTCACACGGGTCCTCTGGCCTTCCACGCCAGGTGAAGAAAGCCGCAGTGGAGGTGTTTGGACAGCTGGGTGAGCATGCGAGCGACCACACCCACGACGCTTTGACGTTTTCAGCGACTTTTTTCAGGTTTGCGAGGGTATAAACAAAGGTTCACACACACATATATATATATATGTATATACACATACACACGTTTGTGTATGTATGTATATATGTATACACGTATATATATATATATTATGTTACTGTATGTTATGTTTTGTTTTGTTTTGTTAAGTTTGTTTCTGAGTGCATGTATGTGTGTATTTATGTATGTGTGTATGTATGTATGTATGTATGTATGTATGTATGTATGTTTGTTTGTTTGTTTGTTTGTATGTTTGTATGTATGTATGTATGCATGTATGTATGTACATATTTATGTATACATGTGTATTTATATATACATATATATATACATATATATATATATACATATATATATACACAGACATATATCTATATCTATATATATATACACGTATGTATTTTTGTGTAAGTGTAGGTTCAGGTATTTGCTTTTCTTTATCTGTTGATGTCAGCAAGTACATAGGTAAATAAGTAAGTAAGTAAGTAAGTAAGTAAGTAAGTAAGTAAGTAAGCATGTATGTATTATGTATGTATGTATGTATGTATATATATATGCATATATAAGTTCGTAGATATATGCATACATACAGAGGCCAGGGATGTCCTGAGATGCTGTTCACCGATGCTCAACCCTCAAACTCTTGAGCGCAATTTCACTCGTAACCACAGCGAGTCATCACACCGAAAACCCTAAGCGGTCACCTGCCGCTCTCTTGGCCGAACCAGGAAATCCTCGACTTCCTCCATGATGCGGATCCCGAGATGCCCTGTTCTCAGACATATTCGGTTTTCTGCCGAACGTGTGACAGAATGAGGCAAACATGTACTTGGACCTTCCCCTCGTTGTCTTTCTACTTCCAACTGGTCGTTTGTATTGTTGTTGTGCTGTCTGTGAGCGGGCTTTCTGGGCTTCTGCCGACCCGCTGGAACCACATGTGCCCTCCCGTCGGAGCGGACAAGCCTCACCTGCATTGCTCGACGAGAGTCCCACCCCTAAGCCGGCGGGCAATCGAATGTTCAAGCAGTCTTCCGATCTTCCGCAAACGCGTCCTGATTGAGCCCGATGTTAGAAGTCAAACATCCGGGAAAGTTTGACCGCGATTATTGTTACTATCATCATATTATGGTATACCCCAAACGAACCTTATTCTGACGATTTAAGGCCGGAAGGTGGAACCTCTCGTTTGCACGCTTTGTGGAACAACAGTCCTCAAACCCACCTTGCATGTCCTTTGATTTGCGAGCCGAGACAAGCCCACCAAAAAGAGCCCAGACAGCAGACAACCTTCCCCAAACCTTAAATTCCCCCAATCCTGAGCCCTGGGCCCCAAACCCCGGATAAGGGCCCTCAACTCAGGCGCGCCACGGCGGCGGCGGCCTTAGGAAACCTTGGTGCCTGGGAGCACCTGGAAGAGTTGAGGCCATCTGTTGCCTTTTTCCGTAGTACGGTTGACACTCTGAGTTTGAATAAAACCCCGGGAGTGAAATATTTTTCAGACGAGGGTTTAGATGTCAAGTTTTCGCAAAGAATTGGGAAATTAATGACAAGGAAACTAAACATCAGTTATAATAATCAGAGTACAAATACCACGAGAGAGTAAGCACTGGGGCTTCCGGTGGAGTTCGCACTAGGGGGCCCGTGGTTCGGGCTATCGCAGCTTACGACGGTGGTATACAGTAACATTGGTGGTTGTGTTTCGAGTTCGAGTGCCTTCGGCCTTGGTATCAGATTTCTCCATGCGGATTTTCAGGAGCATTTGGGTTGCAAATTGGGGCTTGTGAGCCAACCCACAAATGCGTAGCCTTCGCGAGCTGTTGTTTGAACCAATCACTCGTTAAGCTGAGGAGTGTTTAAAAGTTGGGCGAAGTTAAGGGTTTGGAGGGCTAGACGTCAGTCCAATACCCGAAAGCTTGGCCGGTTCTGGGTTTGCGGTGCTGTTGCGATTGTACAATATGTAGATACATAGCTTACACACCAGTCTCTAAAAAGATAGATGCCTTCACAAATAGTATAGTGTAGATAGATAGGTATAGTATCGTATTGTATAGTTTAGTATAGTATAGTATAGAATAGTATAGAATAGACTAGAACAGACTAGTAAGATATAGTCTATTGGAGTATCATTTTTCTATATGACATAATGTGTAAGACTTGTTTCGGGGTTGCAGGGTTTGAAGTCTCAGAATTGGGATGATGTTGGACGTCGTTTTGATTGCCGGGAACTTGATGTCAGGATCGGCTTTGGGGTTTTGTCTGACTATCCAGATACCTTGCGAATATCGAAGTTCTTCGATTGTCTGCACAAAGGCGACAGCTGCAAATCCTTGCTCGCCTTTGATCGTCCCTGCGCTTACATACTACAAACAACCAGTTCCGACGATCGGTCCGTGCACCACATCCGAGAGCATATTCCGAGTTTTTGGCATACGTGATCACTATGACTGATGATCTTCAGGACGGCAGATACTAGTCAACATGGTTGAAGTTCGTCGTATTGTGACAGAATGCTGAGACTTGTGCTGGCAGCACAAGCCAGAGCTGCGACAGCAACACAAGTTACCATAGCGGAATTACTGATAGCACGGTGCCCTAAAACCTACACCCCCATAGAACCCTAAGCCCTAAACCCTGCGGGAGTGAGAGTCGAAACCCTAAACCAAAGATAGGGCTTGGGACACAGGCCTTGCCTATCCGACTCCAGTCCTGCTGTCGTTCGTGCCGCTTTGGGAGCTGCCGAGTCCCATGGCAGCAGATAATATGCGGGTTGGAACAATTCGAAGTAGCATCCCGTGGATCCTCTTTGAAACATTGCGGGGGGCTGTAGTAGGCTTCGTCATAGCTTGTGGTTAAGAGCCGTCGCACGTTTCCTCTGCTGAACTGTTCTAGCACACACGAGGGCCCCTGCCCCAAAGAGAGTTTGAGATTTGTGGTGCAGGGGTTGAGGGTCTTGCATGGTTTGTTAGGTTGCCAAAGCCCGTGATGCTTCGTGGGTTCAAAGAGCATTGGAAGTGCTCACTTCCAAGGAAATGGGGCGAGAATGGCCAGCAGCTTGCAAGCAGCATCCTTGAGTGCTTCGCCAACTCTGCCAGAGGACCGTTCTTCCCATTGTTACACCCCCCGCCTTCAGGGGAAATCGTAGACTTGACGGGGAAGTGATGAAGGTATAGCAAGTTCTGGGATATGATCTTTCGGGTTTGCCTTCCAATGCTATGATTTCCTTCAGTGAGCTTGCTGTGAACTCTTCAACAGTTGATGCAGATGAGATAAGACATTGTGGGTTTCATGGCAGTGCCATGATGGTGTTGCTTTTGACAGCGGCCCCCGAAAGCTAGCATGTCCGTTTTCTTGCTGAAGCTGCCTGTTTGGTCGTCCTTGGTCCGCCTACCGTACACTCTTCGTAAGCTGGATGGTTTGCTAAATTGTGGCCAGAAAGATACTGCACACCTGCCACCCAGTCAGGGAGCTCGGGGTGCGACCGAAAGCGCTTAGTGCAAGATCGGCCTCCATCACTGCAGCCTTTGCTTCGAAACCCGGCAGGAGTTCGATGCGATGCTGTAAAGGCGCCCGCGGTCTCACCAAGCTTGCACGGCCATGAAGAATTGAATCGTGCTGCCCGGGGACTTTGTCAGTTTTCCAATGTGCTACGGCCTGCAGCATATTTGGCAAAGCTCAGGTGTGTCAGGGACTGATTCGATTTCTAGAACTCTGCCGTTCCAGCGAGGTCGTAAATATAGAGGGTTCGTTTTGAAACTGTAATCTACACAGTAGTACTGCAATACATAATACTCTCTCTCTCTATGTATATATATATACATACACATCAGTTTCAAGTCACATGCTGCCCTGCCGCCTGAGAGGCCTTGGCCTCGTGGGCTGATGTCGGAGAACGTCTTGCAGGTGCCTGGCTTGTCTAGGTTTTTGGTGTCTAACGGCTGGAGCAATGCCGGGTTGTGTCGTTTGTTAGCTCTGAGAGCCTAACTCAGGGCCTCTTTGTTATTAATGCTCAATCGAGTCTGAATGATCTCCTGGAGCCGAGTGCGGCACAGGATATTTAGATATACATATATATATATACATACATATATACATATATATATATCTATATATCTATGTATATGTATATGTATATGTATATGTATATGTATATGTATATGTATATGTATATGTATATGTATATGTATATGTATATGTATATGTATATTTACATGTACATGTATATGTATACGTATACGTATAGGTATATGTATATGTATATGTTTATGTTTATGTTTATGTTTATGTTTATGTTTATGTTTATGCTAAGCTGCAGGGCCCGAATTGCCCCCGACAGCTGGGGGAAGATCGTAGAGCCTCAGAACCGCAGCCATGACCCCACGGAATAGGCGGTTCGTCAAACAACAGCTGCCAAAATAGAGATGGCAACGACTATGACACTGGCTTGCACAAGCTTCCTGGCCCCACACCACTGCAGCAGATGAATGCTGGCAGATGTACGATAATCGTGATCTTCCTGCGCTGCTGGCATCTCGGCGGCACGGTGGATCCCCATCCAATGGTCGATGAGCTTTTGCAAAAGGCCCATCACATTTTCCTCAACCCGGAAAACCCTCTGGAACCGCTGAAGTAAGTCGGTACGGAGCTCACGTCCATGGGGCGGTACCAGCAAGACACCAGGGCCCGATTCCTGGACACCATTCATTACGGTGCTACACGGCAGTGCGAGTGGCAATGCAGAGGAGCTGGCGAAAGGTCTGATGCGAGACCTCACTGCACTTGGACTGCAATCCATCGTGAGAACGTTGGATGACTTCGTGCTCGAGGTGATACCAGACCAGAAGACTGTCATCTTGGTGGTGTCCACTTGCGGGCTGGGCGCATATATCCGGCCAGCTGCAAGCAGACCCGGCTGAAGCTCCAGTCTCCAGATCTGCCATGGCTTGGGCTGGCAGGTTTGAAGTTCAGCGTTTTCGGCCTGGGCGACTCCACTTACTGCCAGTTCTGCGTGGCCGCTGCCGGCTTCTGCTGGGCGCCGGATTTGCCGCTGGGCCAGGACATTCCTGCGCGTTCTTATCGCGTGAGTGCATCACCATGCGGCTTGGCAAAGCCACCATCAGCGATGTTGACATCATCACACCCGGTGCCAACAGACTCGCGCTACAACATGCTGACAGGTGATGGTAAGTACGATCGTGACATGCGGCATTATGAATTCAAGATTGAGGGCACTAATGTTGCTCACAAGACAGGCGAGCGCCTTAAAGACAAGGCCCTGGTGTTCTGCTCGATGGGTTTGCTGGCCGCTTCGCTTTCATTCGACTCAGGCCTCACACGTGCTGGTGTGTATATACGCGGTCACTGTATGCAGCGGCACGTCTGAGAGGGCACAGTGATGTTTAATTTTCCAGTGTGAGGGACCTACCCTGTAGTTGGCCTCCCCTGTTCCCTGGAGGAATAGGCTCAGGGTACAAGTGTGAACTCGTTTTCCGGTTGTCGTTGAGGATTTCCTGCACCTTTACATTGCACTCCAGCTGGTGCGTTTCGTCATTTGGCTCCGATGTTAGTTGTAGTTTTGTCTAGTGGGTTAAATGGCTGTTGAGGGGACGGTTTTTCTTGTTGCGCCGGTTAAATTCCATCTGCCGTTCCCACATGCTGAGTGCATACTGGGCTACTCCTTGTATGTGTTTTTTTCATCCTGCGAGGCCCAGATTTCTGCTCCAGCCAGCAAATTTAATTAGGTGCATGCCTGGAATTCGTTTGTGCTAGGAGCGCGTCCCCCGGACTCTAAGCTCTCGGAAGAAGAAGATGCTAATCTGCGTATGCGGATGTATCTGTTCGCTCGCCCAGCTGATGATCAGTGTTGCCTTTTGCTGAAGCCCCCGGCTCCCTGCAGCTGAACACGCGAACTTTACCCTGCTTTACCGTTTAAGGTGCAGTTTAGATTTGAGGCTTAGCGTTGTCTCAAGAATCCTACGGGTTATGTATGCAGCTACTGAATGTCAATCAAGTTTGGGGGAGGGTCTTGCAGAGTTGGCACGGAGTCCTTGAGTGCGGGTTTATCGCGGATTTGCTCAGTCCACGAGGCTCCTTTCAACGGGGGGTGTAGGATTTTTGGGCTCAGGGTTTCGGGTTTTTTTGGGGTTTATAAGGGGTCTAGGGGTTTAGGGCTTAGGGGTTTAGGGTTCATAAGGGGTTTAGGGGTTTAGGGTTTCCACACACCCTTGCTCGTCATGCCTTTGGTTTGAGGTTCGAGAGTGAAGTTTAGGGTTTCAGTCTCCCGTGCCCGAGAGACTACTGCCACCACCACGACCGCGACGACGATAACGACGAGTCGTTCTGCGATCACTAGAAAGAACTACTACCGCTTTTTGTCATCCGTGCTCTTCATGTACTGGAAAACCCTCAAAACGCCGGCGGCAAATTTCAGGATTAAGTCTGACTCAAAATATCAAGACGGAGTCTGGCCTGAGAGCAAGACGCACCGTCCGCCCACTCTAAGGATCCGTGCGGCCTGCAGCATTTTAGGGTTTAGGGCTTGGGGCTGCTAGAGTTTAGGGTTTCAGATGGTTTAAGGTCAGGCGGGGAAGCGGAAGAAACACCACATGAGCATTCAAGTTTGGAGCTGCGGCAGTTTTCAGGAGGAACTCTGGTAGGTCCCTACTGTTACCGGCAGCTCTTGATCAAACCGGGCTTTGAAGTAACCAAGGAGAAAGAAGTATACACTCTCTTATCTCTCAATGGTTCCTGTAAGGAACAAGTCAAACAAAAGTATGAATGAACATATTAAAGCATGGTACTCCAGTGAGTAAATAGTCCAACGAGTCGCACTAGGGCCTCGTCTTGGTCTGACAGATGCGGGTTAGAGGTTTGAGGGCTTCGGAAAAGGGGCGTAGTCTTTGGGGTGTTTGGATGACAACCCTAGACATTGTATGAACCCTAAACGGCTGAGGGCTTAGGGGTTTGTGGGTGTAGGGTTTTGAGGGCTTTGGGCTCGGGTAAAAACCTAAAGAGCTAGTAATTACGACAACAGTCCGTGCAAGTATGTAAAATATAGCCGGGACAAAGACGGACTACGAACAGCATCCGGAAGGCCCCCACGAAACCAAAATGATCATAACCAAACCCTATAAACCCTAAACCCAAAGCCCTAAACCCTAAGCCCACTGCGAAAGGCAGGCTGCCTCGGAAAGCACCCTCTTGTACATGGCGCGGCGCTCCTGGGTCTATGCAGGTTCAGGCTGGGAAGGGATTTGAGGTTCAGGGTTTGGGGGTTTAGGGTTTTGGGTTCGAGGTTTGGGGTTTAGGGTTTGAGGTTTAGGGTTGAGGGTTTCGGGTTCAGGGTTTAGGGGTTTGGGGTTTAGCGGTTTGGGGTTTAGGGTTTAGGGGTTTACTCTGCTGAACTTGGTGGCTGTTTCGTAGGGATCGGCCAAACATGCTTCCAAGTATCCCTCTAGCGAACTCTACGGTGCTGCTCCTGCGGAATCCTAAACTTTAAAGCCTAAACACCCTAGGCGGACTCTCCAATCCTAAACCCTAGGCCCTAACAAAAATCTCAAATTCCGCACCCTACAGTCTTCAACTCCCTAAAAAACCCCCAGGGACAAACAAAAAATCAACCAATCTGAGATCGAGTCGTCGCTGTCGCCGGAATTCGGCAAATCGCACAGCACTGCTTCGGCCTCACCTTGCTTGCGCGGAGGAGTGGGCTTAGGGTATAGGGTTTAGGGTTCAGGGTTTAGGGTTTAGGCGTGGCGCTTGAAGGGCTTACCCGTAGGCCTCTAAGTAGTCCCTGTTTGTGGTTCATATTTAGGATCCTATAAGGTCATCCCAAAAAGGAACTACTTAGGGGCCTATGGGTAGTCTTTTTTTTTCAGAAGTCTTGCAGTCCAATACTATGTGGAAACGCTGAAACCCAGGATGGAAATGAAAACCTCTCAAGCAGCCGGAAGAATGGGCACAGTCTTCGGTTCCGGCGATTAGTAGGGCTAGTAGGTATGGGCAATTAGGCTTTCGAGGAAAAGCCAAACCCGGTAGAGAGGTTTGGGTTCAGGATTGAGCTGTAGTCTCCATCGTACTTCTTTTCTGGCTTGTCAACTCTATGATTAACAGCATAATAAACGGTACTCAACAAAGAACTACACATGAAGCCTGTGTGTATTCCATAGGACCTACACCCTTGTAGCCTTGTAGAATCCTTATGGAACTGTTAACACTTGCTGTACAAATCTCAGGAAATCATAGATCCCTCAAGTGGCCTAGAGTGGACTTGGACCCAACATATCCTTAAACCCTAAACCCAAAACCTCAAACCCTGAACCCTGAACCCGTAATTTGGTGCTCCGATCAAGCTGCCATCCTCCAGCTCGACAGTCCCCCCATCGCTGCAGGCAATCTCGAGGCTCTCGGACCTCCGAGGGTTGGTTTCGGGCTTTAGGGGTTTAGGGCTTTAGGGTGTAGGGCTTTAGGTTTTAGGGCTTTTGAGTTTCGGGTTTAGGGCTTTAGGGTGCAGGGCTTTTGGGTCTAGGGCTTTTGGGTTTCGGGTTCAGGGGCTTAGGGTTTCGGGTACAGGATTAAAGGCGAGGGTTTACGGCGCTTCTGAAGAGCTTTTGCTCTGTGCTACACTGTCTCGTTATGACCGTCCTTCTTAGAACAGAAGTGAGAAACAAACATACGAAGTTGAGAATCGGAAAACTGGTTGCTTAGTCTTGCATTCTCGTCATTGTAATGCGGGTGGCCATTGTTGCAGGTAGAGTCAAAGCATTGGTAATGTGCTGCACCTACTGCTACCTGCTACTGTCTATTTTCGGGATGATTATCGCGACTGATACTGCGACTGCGACTGGCCACACCATGACGACGACGAGCCCAAAGCTCCATACCATGAGACACAACAAGAGAGCACTAACCATGCCACACAATACGGTTGATGATGTGAATCCTGCATTACCCATAATAAGGAATATACCATTATTTCCCATAGTTTGGGATCCTTAAGGTAATGCAGGATTTAACCATCAACAGTATCAACCCACAACGACCCACAAGCAGCCATCATAAACCATATCTCTAAGGGTCCAAGTACATAATAATATATTCTCCCAAATAGTAACCTACATAACTACTATCCGAAACCTAAGTTCCTGATTATTGGGTCCTTTGGCCTCTTGGGGTATATTAGACCATAAAAAACCAATAATATTAATACTAATGCTAATAATAGTAATAAGTATAATTATAATAAAAACAAACTTAAACCAAGGTCCCTGATCTCGACCGAGACTCTGCTCGGCTAGTCGCCGCATAGCACTCGACGCGGCTGCCTGCAACGATTTCGGACGAAGGAGCCTTTACCCTATACAGGGTTAGGGTTTAGGGTTTAGGGGTTAGGGTTTAGGGTTTATAATTTAGGTATGTAGCCAAAATACAATATACTTTCGCCCTAAAGTACCGAGACCACTTGGCCAAAGTATACGTACACTCTTTCGAACGAGGGACCCTTTTGCTTTGGGGGTTCAGGGTTTCGGGTTTCGAGATGCGGCCAAGATGGTAATCAAAATGAAGATGAATCAGGGTTTAGGGTTTAGGGGTTAGCGGTGAACATTATGATGCTGGAAATAGTGGCGATGATGCCGATGATGCGTACGACGGTGGCAGGTTGGGAGTGACGGCTCGACGACAGTCCGTGTGTGCCGCTGAGTATTGGAAGCCTTCTGCGGACTTAAGTACTCAGCCCAAAAAGCCTGGGGCAAAACCTTAAACCCTATGACCTTGAAGGCAGCATGGCCAAGCGGGTGTGGCGTTCGTTCGGTGCTTGGCGCTTGAAACCCAGAGACTGCGTAGAAACCTGGACCCGTTGGACCTCCCAGGCCCCTGAGGCCCTTCATCGCTAAGCTGATGCACTGAAATTCGGGATTGGCCCAGTTTGCGGTCACACACCGATGACCCTAACCCAAGTCGGCCTAAAGATCTAAACTCACCCCGAACTCTCCAATCTGTATCTTCAACGCCCTTACACAGATCTGATCCCCGAACGCCCTAAATTTGGCCCTAAATCCTATTATATCCTCAACACTCTTCAACCCTGAACATCCCTAAACCGTAACTATGCAGTACGGAACCCTACAGCCTCAACCCTCACAGCTCATGAGGCCAAAAATCTCTCAGGCCACCCGAATCCTAACATGTTAGGAAAGGCTGCTTTAGGGTTTGCTTCTCAAAGAGGCCTCCTATAGGGTTAGACTAAGGGCGTATGGAGCCCTAATAATTACTCAGCAGAGTGTTTCGGGGGTTTATGATATTACAGCTAGGTCAAATAAACTGTAGGTAAATGTTGCTAGTTGCTCCGGGCGGCTTAGTACATCCTGCAGGGCCGAAATCCGAAAGCCCAAGCCTCAGGCCTCAGTCCTACAAAGCAAAGTTTGGCAGAGAGTCCTGCCGCACGTCACAACCAACCAGACGCGGAGGCACCTTCAAGACAGCTTGCAACTAGATTCAACTGGATCAAGAGTCAAGAAACCCCAAACCCTGAACCCTAAACCATAAGTGTACCAACATCGGTTCCGGC